TTCGATTTATTGAAACATTAATATGAATTTACTTTTATGATTTTCGTCTGTATTTTGCTTCAGGAACATCTCGTTTTAATGTCCAACAGTAATCCGCTAACATACGTGGGCTCCACTTGCCCTGATATCGTTTTTCTATGGTAGAAATGTCTTGATGGAATCTTTCACCGTGTTCATCGCTGACGGCGCCCAAATTTTCAGGAAAGAAATCCAAATGTGAATGAAGAAAATGTATTTTTAGCGACATATTACACCCCAAAGCCTTATAAGTAGATAAAAGCTCCGCGATAATACATTTATAGTCACTTGATCGGTGATTTCCTAGAAAATTGGAAGTTACTTTCATGAAAGATTCCCAAGCTGATTTTTCTAAATTACTAAGCTTTTCTTTAAATATATCATCTTTCATCAATTGCCTGATTTGAGGGCCAACAAATATGCCCTCTTTAATTTTTGCTTCACTCAGCTTAGGAAATTTTTCTTTCAAATATAAAAAGCCGTCACCACTCCTGTCCATAGCTTTCACGAAGTTCTTCATAAGCCCAAGCTTTATGTGTAAAGGTGGTAAAAATACATTTTCAGGCTGCAGCAATGGAGGGTTTTTAATATTTTTTTGTCCTGGAGTAAGAGATTGCCTTTTGGGCCAGTCTTGCTTAACATAATGATTTTTTCGGTCTCTGCTATCCCACTCACAAATAAAGCAACAGTATTTTGTATACCCCAGTTGTAATCCTAAAATTAGGGCAATCACCTTCAAATCTCCACAAACTTTCCAGTTGTGTTCGTTATACTGAATTTTTTCCAAGATAAATTTAATAGTTTCATAAGACTCTTTCATGTTAGAAGCCTCACCTAATGGTACAGAGGGAAGTTTATTGCCAATATGTAACAGAACAGCCTTTAAACTTACTTTTGAGCCATCAATAAATAAACGCCACTCTTTTGCTTTATATTCTATACCCAAAACAGTCATTACGCCATAGACATTATTACAAAATACAAGCTGATCATCTTGTGAAAAAAAACCTTTTAGCTCTTCATCTCGATTGCGAAAGTAACATACTTTTGTTTTACGTTGTAATAAATTCCATCCCTTTAATCGGGAGCCCAAAAGTTCTGCCTGTTGTTTGGACAACTTTAAGTCACGTACCAAATCATTGAGATCTCCTTGCGATAGAAGATGTGGCTCATTAGATGAGGATGAGGAAGCTTCTTGAAAGTCAGGATCCAATGTCTCTTTTTCTATTTCTGGCGTAACGGCCAGATCGCTGGTTTGAGGTAGTTCTGGTACCGGTAGATCTCCACTATGAGGGATCGGTCTTTTAGCTGATGACAGGACAGGATACTTAATTTTACTTTTTGTTTTAATTGTAATACCTTTTGTATCAGTAAGACAAAAATAACAATCAGATGAGTGGTTCGTTGGTTCCATCCAAATCATAGGGATTGCAAAAGGCATAGATCGAGATCTTTTCGCCCATCCAGTGAGAAGACCCACACATGTAACACAGCAGATGTGTGGAACCCACGCTTTGTCTTGTTGTCCGATGGCAAAGCCAAAATACTGTTCATATAACTTAGTTACTAATGGTGTCAAATTCCTTCGCTGAGTTTTGAAAGTAATGTCACCACAAATGTAACAAAACTTGTCAGGATCATTTTTACACTTTCTTGACATTATTTAACAATCACTTAACTCAAAAACAGAACAAAACACTACGCTCTTCAAATAAACAAATTCTCTGAATGCGACAATGAAACAAAAACAGTTAATTTTTAATTTTGTGGGTAGTAGGCTGTAACACGAAAACTAGATCTGATGGAATCAAAATAAATATGGTAATAAAATGAGGGTAGGTAGGTAATTTAAAATTAGCAAGCACCTTTCTTGTTACAAAATTTTGTTGACCAGTGTAACCAGCCATTTCGATCCGAGTCTCTTTTATTTTTGTTTAATTCTCTTACATCGTGTAGATACCTACTCCCTAGTGGACACATGTCACAGGACAAAGATAAATAATTTTAATGTCTTACACCAAAATTGGTAAAAATTACAATGTACGAACTGATATGGAATGTCTGTGAATGATCTTCTATATATGTTCAAAATACAAAACGAAACGCTCGCCTAAAAGGCTGATTCTGGTGGTTCAAGGGAATGCAAAGGAATAATGACAATTCCGCGGTTATCGTGTTTAGTATGAAATAAATGATGGAATTACACTGAAATTGAAGCCCAGCATTATAAATATGAAGTTTATTAATAATTATTGTACTGAAAGTGAATAGACATTATTTTCTTGATACTCTTCAAAAACGTCGTCAAGTTAATGATCTATTATTTTTACATTCGATACTCAATAGATTTATATAACTTATTTGATTTTAATGTACCATCTCAAGCTGTTCGGCAGTAGAACCTTATTTGCTTATTTCAGTACCATTCCGCGTTTAACGAAGATCAGCTAATTCTGTTGTTCATTCGAGAGATGAATTATAAGTACTTATCATATTCACTGTTTAAAAATCTAGTCGGTAGTCGCTTGTGATCGCTTTTCTGTTTTTACTTTGTCATCGTTTTATCATCTTCGTCTAGCTATTAATGTATTGTTCTTACTTATTAATGTATTTATTCATTTTTACAGTACGTATGGCAATACCTCGGTTGTTATTACATTTATTATCCTAGCTATGCAATATTGATGTCACACAAATCTTTTATATTTTATATTTTTTTTTTCTCTTATGTATACTTAAATCTTATATCCTTGTAATAATTGTAAAAAAAAGGGTGCATACCCGTTGAGCCAAATAAATAATAATAATCATTTTAAGATTCCAAAATGTAAGAAAACACATACATTAGGTATGTGGGTCTTAAATTAAAAAGGAGACTTTACAATTTACCACAACAGATGATAAGTTTACTAAACGAACATATAACTATCGTCAGATTTCCGAAATACGTGTCTGCTCAGCAAGGTCTGTTTTATTAAATTGGAGAATGATTTTTATTATCATTTATTGTTGTTGTATAAAATGATTTAACTAAAAGAGGGCCGCTAATTTAAAAATGAACAAAATTTAGTATGTGTTTGTTTGCAGTTCGATTGTTAAGGAAACCAACTTTGGAAAAGGTAGAAAAGAGTATTAATTGTCGTTTAAAACGTTGAAAGGATTTGGTGGATCTTCACATACCTGTCAAGTACCATGGAGAGAAAAATCTTTTAAAAAAAGCATGCAAGCACAGTAAAGATTCATGTTCTTTTCGGTAAAGTTTATGAAGCAAAAATTATTAGACTAATATTGAATTTTGCGAATACATGACGAGCATACTAATTTTTCTAAGATTTTTTTCTCTGTGAATATCTTTTAATCTTTAGTACGGTCAAGGTGAAATATATTTGTTTATAAATTAAGGTATTTAATTAACCTGTGAGATTGATCTAAATGTAAAATGTACCAAAAATATCATCATATCATTAGTATGTGAAGTCATACAGGATTCGTACTCATGTGATGTTTCAAGTCAATAAGAGCGTGTAGTCTACGTAATACAATATAAATTCCGTAAACCGATATTTCGTTGGGAATACGAAAAGGAAAAACCACGTTTGTTCTGTATCATAAGTTCTTTTCGGTTCAGCGATCAAAATCTTTTATTTTCCTGGAGTTTACACCCTTTTCCATTCGGGGCCCGTGTTTATCTGTGGACCCATAAACAACCCTTAAGCAAAACGGCGTGAATACGTAATGCGTGACGTGAAAAATAACGTAAACAGGAACAGGAGGAGAGAAGATGCTGGTCTAGTGTCGGCTGCTTCTTTTGAGTCGTGGAATGTGTCTTCCACTTAATCCGGGGGCGGAAAGGACGGATCGTATTTCACGCGAACGAACCGTGGGGTTCAAGAAAGAGAGAGAAGGAGGTAGGGCCACTGCTGCTTCCTCTCCGCCTCCTGCAGAAAGTGCGGCAGTTGGCGAATTCTTCCAATAAATTTGTGAAAACATTGCATTTTCTTATATGCGCCGGGACGCCGCCGCCGACGCTTCGCATCGGCTACAAAATCCACTTCGCAAGCAGAACGAGATGCATGGCGCGACGTTGCGGGGGATGAACGGGGCCACTCGCTCGTAATTCTTGTCGGGAAAATAGACTCCCGTCCGTGAACAAAGTTAATAAATGGCGCAACATACATTTTTCGAGCTCTCGTAACAAATGTAATCTTCACAAATAAAAAACACTAAAACTAATTAGGTATCTATCTACAATAACTTATCATTCATATACTTTGACTTACCAAAAATAAAAAAAGAGACCACGATATGTATCATCATGTCCGTACGTTTAGTCATGTGGACAGTACCACAACGAACTTTTTCAACATACAAACTTGCATTTTAACAAATTCCTATTTGTTCGGTCTTTGTTAGTTATTGTACAGGCCTGACGCTGGAAGCTGGCGGAAATTTTAAAATGGCATGGATGCGCGGTGGCAAAAGTAGGCAATTTTAGGTATAAAGATTGCAGCCCTCTTTCTTCAGTATTTCCTATCAGGGGTGTACATTAAATATTTAAAAATAGGGATCAGTGAGCAAGTAATAGACAGACAAACAGAAGAACTAATTGTTGATGTTGGTGACACTGATAGAGATTCCCATGATGACAGTGAATGTGAAAACTAACTATAAAACAAAAGCAATAGGTTTATTTTTTCTTTTTGGTAAGTTATGTTTCTACATTATTTCTTAGTACCCTACTGTCCTATCTGTATTAATAGTATAATTTACGCCTACTGAAAGCTTATTTGTGTATCGGTTGTAAGTGATCCAAATAGGTCATAAATGGGCAAGTACCTGCGCGACCGCTCGCCAGGTTCCTTCGTCCGACCTGTACATATTTTGTAATTTTGAAGACGTGCTTTTCTGTTTATATTAGTTTATGATAGTTGTGAGTTTGTACAAATTTTATTATCAAATTTTGAAACGGACTTTTTTTATAGGCACATCAAGAAATTTCTCTTCAGCTGGACATCACTAAACAGGGATGGTTCGCAGATAAGTGCAATTACCTTCATAAACTCTGCAAGCACCCGCTGTGTCGGCGTCTTCAAATTGTGACATGAACATTTTCAATATTTTCAGAATTAAATGGGCGTTATTTGTTTATTGAAGGGCGTATCTACGCCTGCATATAGTAATTATTTCAAATCCTAGCAAATATGAATTTCGGACCTACGATACGCCCAAAACCATCAGCACAATTATTATAAATAACTATATAACTTTAGTAAAAAAGCAGTTTAAGACTCAACTCGTTCAATTCATGCAGTGCAAGTATTTCAAATCATTCTATTCAAGTAATCAGCCTTCGTATATGTATGAACCTTATCTTTGTACCATAGAACGAACTTGTAACGTGACATTTTAGTGATATTTTGCAAAATGTATTTTTTCTGTACTTGTTTTTATTTAAATATAGCTCAAGATGTTGATGTGTCTTGTTTGAAACCAACAAAATTTAAACACTATTTACAAGTATACCTGCGACCTTTCAAACATATCTCTACCATTCAAAATCTACAATAATAAGTTGTACCCCAATTTCTGGTAAACCCTCGGACTCATGCTGAACAAATAGCCCTAAAATCGAAATTTTGAGTAGGATACACCAAAATTTCAGGAATTTTACATCTGAGAGCTATGCATTAATTTAAAAATAAATATAGTAGTTTTTGGATTTTTTCGAAAACGGCGAAAACTTAAAATTCTTGATTGAAAATTGTAAGACATTATATTTTACATACAAAAGCTTCGATAATAATGCAAATTTTTAGTGGTTTAGCCTTTATAAGGTTGAAATATTTGGGATTAAAATATCACCAGCCGCAGATGTAATCAGTATTCTCCGTCACTTTATGAAGTAATCCTTATGTCAGATCCGTTTTTGAATGGGGAGTTCGACGAAACTATATCCAATGTGGACCAAAAATAATGAATGAAAAATCGTGAACTAAACGCAATGCAATTTATTTCCACATCTTGAATATTCTGTTTTTTGGTTCTCGTATATTCTAATAATAAATATTACCTTTCGTTGGCAGACCTATTTAAACGGTTCCAACTGAGCTGTGTGTGAGCTGAACTTAGTGTTGTGGGTACTTCTTTTCTAAATATTTCAACCTTTATAATTGCTGAAGTATTGAGAATTCATGTTATCACCTAAGGAGATTGCTGTTGTAAAATATTATGCTTTACAATTTTGGATTGGAATTCTTTTAAAAGATTTCAAAATAATCCTAAAATACTGCATTTTTATTTTTTTGGTTGAAGAAGTTTATATGAAGTTGTAGGTAAGGTCTTCAAGGTCAAGTTTTGGTTCACGCTACTCAAAATTACGATTACAAAGTTACTTGTAAACTGCTTGTAACATTTTTACTATGGAAAAAAGTGAATGACTTCAGAGACTGTTTTTTCTCCTTGCATTTTGTCGAAATCAAAGACACAGAAAAAAACTAAGGTTATAACAAAAAAAATTATCATAAAGCGTGAGCGTACCAAGCAATTTAAATAAAATGAGTAAGCAGTGACAACTCTAGAATATTTTAGAAATAGATGTTTACTTCCTGGAAATGATTTTTAATGATCAAACTTAGTTTCTTACTTAGTCTACAGACACATTTGCTCGTTTAATTATTTTTCGAAAATAGATCTAGAATAGGTATTTTAACTGCTACTACCTATAGTAAAAGTCTAATACAGTGATTTAATATTGTTGACGTTTTGTATATCTACTCCGGAAACAGCAATAAAAAAGGACAATTGAACATACGACGTTTTGCGAACATTGAATTTCCGCCCCATTTACGTATACGGCTGTGGAGCCGACAGGAGGACAAGGAAAACAATGGAATAAGCATCACCAGTGCCGGCACATTATTGTCGTGTTAATGCACTTAATGTATCGAATGCAAATTAATCGAAATTAATCCTAAGTAATAGCGACGAACGAGCGAACGGTACGTACCCAAGTATCTCCCGTGGTGCCGTGCACGTTGGCCGAACGGAGAACAACGAATCAACGGCAACACAACCAACGAACGGACGGAATGGAGCATAATTAAGCCGGAGCTCCCAAGATTTACGTTGGAAAAGAATAAGGGCGCCGCGTCCGATATAAATTCCGACCGGATCGCTGCGGGAATAAAACTGATGCCGCTTCGCAATCGATTTCCGCATCGGTTTACGACCCGACGTTCAATAATACTCCGTTTTTTTCATCAAATACCATTACAAAAGGTTGTGCAAGAAGAACATGAAAGATATGAATATATTAAGGCGAGTACATTGACATAATAGTATCCCAGACAAATGATAAAATCTAAAGATATTAATAAATCTGGATCTTACAGTATATGTTCAATAGTAAAACAGACGTCAATTTTACTTGCTGACCGAAGATCCCATACGTTATTTTAAATACAATGTTAAAGTACTTTAACTACAAAGATTGTTGTACTGTTCTTGAAACTTTTCTCATTGTTCTATACATTGCATTAAAACGGAAAGTACAAAGAAAAATGTAAATTTGTCCTTCGAGATGGATAGTTGGTTTTGTCCTTCAAATCGACTTTCCCAAAATCATCAAAGGATAAAAATATATTCTTAGAATTAACCCGGAAATAACATCTTCAGGTTTTGCCGTATGTTTGATAAACACTCTGCGACTTCTATATATGTAAAATCAATTGTGATCCCCATTTTTCATGCAACAAATAATGTGACTATTATCGAAAAAAGTTCCTAGCTACGGGCCTCGGCTAGTTGGAAACATATTCGAAGCAGAAACAGGAGTAAATACGGGTACAGGAAGACCTGGATTAGATTGTTTTTCTAAAATAGTTAATGGATGAGGTTAGGGAACAGTGGACACAGGGGATGCGCGACTAACCAATTTTGGGACTAACGACCCTACAGTAACGATAAATAATAATTTATAAAGGTATATCAGTTGTCTTCGACATGTATTTTAAGAACGTGATATCTTAGTATTTATGCTTTTTGATAACAGTAAAAAACTACAACATTACTTAAGTAGGTACTTTTTTAACGGTTAGATAGATTCGTTGATGTGTAACTCATACTTGCAATTCATTTTCATTTCTTGAATCAAATTTTTCAATATCTGCATGCTCATATTTGACAATGGAAACCCCTCAAGAAACTCATGCAAGTTGTATTTTCTGCGTAAATAACTGCCGGTGGCAATTTCATTGGATTAGCGCGGTTACTAGCCGTCGCCGTCACGGTGCTACCGTTGACTCGATGCGATACGACGCAATATACCGCTTGACACATTACCACCTCATTAGATTACGGAGAAATATGAACATTTATGTATGTAGTGTGCTGAGGCTGGACTGTGGTGCAGTAACTTGCGACTCGCTTCGCTGTTACCGCAAAGGACCCGGGAGGAACAAAACGGCCCGAGAATTGTTAATGGGAATGACGCTCACGGCGTCTTATCGTTACTGTTCGACTTCCAAAATACAATTCTCATTTAACGTCACAGTGGGAATGCCCGAAATGTTAATATCAACATACCGAAGAGGAGAGCCCAGCCTTTGGGAGAGTGGCATCAGAAGCGAAATTTTTTTTACATTAGAATAAGTCAATCGAAAACATATAACAAATGAATAATAATTTTTCGCAAGCAAGACACCCTAGCCCTTTTACCTAAACGAATGTAATTTTGTATCAGTTTCTGCAGAAAAAAAAAATTTTTAGAATCTTAATATTGAGTCAAACTTGTCCAAAACTTTCGAAAGTCGTAGACCATCTACCTACATCTTCATCAACAGTACTGAATATGGGAGAAGATAATCATAGTTTTGGATAAGGCTTTTAAAATGTTCTTATTCCATCCTCTCAACTTGTGATGAGTATTGTAAATTGTTTCTTCTAAACATTATTAATTCGAATCCGATTATCTTTACCTTCTTATTTCAGGAATGACTGGACCACTTGACTTTCTTTCTCAAAACGTATCTACCGGATACTTAATACCATGAAAGTCTTCCGGGATCTCTCACGATCCATTCTAATTACTCTCGAAACAGAAATAACGTTCGAAATTGTGAAAAACGCTTTCGCGCACTGGAGGCGCACAATTTACTCGGGTGTCGTTTGGATTTAAGATCTGTTATCTTACATATATTCGGGACGTTTCGACGCCGTTGCATCGCCGTCGTCATTGTAAAAGAGCGTGTGTGCTGTTGTTGTTGCTGTACGTGTATGTTCGCAAAGTGGCTCTCTCCGCTTCCAAGAACATTCATTACATGTGTTCCGAAGATGCTATCGGATCCGAAGCGAGCGCAGAAAGGTTTGTTAATGAAATGCAGATCTCCTCTCAACTGAAACACCTTTTCCTATCTTCAGTAGCATGCAATACGTGATCGTTTTTTTACGAAATCGACGACAATTCGCCGGACATTTTTACCCATTTCTTCTTCTTCTTTCTCTCCATGCAAACAGGCTTAAGTAATCAATAATTATTGTATCGATACAATGAGGAAGGCAAAAACGTCATCATACATAAGCAACTTTTTTTTAAAAATGTATACAATTCTACACGAGACGCAAAAAGTAGAACGAAACCTAAAGCAAGAAATGGCGCTGGTGAAAAGGAAGTCTTCAGCTAAATTTTGAAACTAGGCACAAACCTACTTCAGTATTTTCGTATCCTATATACAGCAATTGAAGTGTCTGATTTTTTAGGTATCTAGGAAGTTAGATAAGTCAGGACGGAAGGAATAGTAGGGATTTAAAGCAGAGGATAGAGCAGCGTCGAGTCGCCTTCAATAAAAAGAGGTTACTTCTATAATCGCGAACGGTTAATTTAGAAATTTGAAAAAGGTTATTAAAAGGGTATGTTTGGAAATGTAGTATTACAGGCGAATGTTAAGGGTACCGTGGATAGAGAAGGTTAGAAATGAAGAGATATTAGAAAGAATAGATGAACAGATGACTTCATGGAAGTCAATAAGGAAAAGGCGAGATTGCAGGTTCTTAGGTATGAAGGTCTAGTCAGAGACATATTAGAAGCAGAAACGGAAGTTAGGAGGGGTAGAGGTAGACCTAGATTACATTACTATTCGCAAATGGTTAAGGATGTGGGATGTTCTAGTTTTAAGGAAATGCGAATATTAGCTCAGGATAGGAAGGAGTGGAGGTGCGTGCCCAACCAGTCTCAGGACTGACGACCATATGATGATGATGATGATACAGCAATATTGTCCATAAGCTTTTCTTTCTGTTTTTGAATAGTATTTAACTAGTTCCTTAATTCACATTAATGATGAGCAAAGCGACACTCAAACAAGACTGTTCCAGTCTTGGTATTAGTCTTTTCCATACTTATTCAGTCTCGGTCTTGGTCTTGCATGTTAAGTCTTGGTTTTACTTATTTAAACTCATACGTTTTTTTAATAATTAAAGTAAAGGTAAAAATTTCAATTACTAAAAATGTTTTTTTCCAAAAAGAATGCATTAAAGTTGCAGTGATAATTTTTCGTTTAGTCTTGCGTATTTGGTCTTGGTCTTTAATATTCGGCCTTGGTTTCGGTCTTGGTCTTGCATACTCGGTCTTGGTTTTAGTCTTGGTCTTATTCGTTCCGTCTTGGTTTTAGTCTTGTCCTGTTCGTTCATCTTGGTTTTGGTGTTGCTAGTATAAAGGTAATCTTGGTCGTGCACGACTGCAATACTAAAACCAATTTTGCTCATTACTAATTCGCGCTTGAGATTTTTTTCGAATAAAATGTAACGGTTCTCCTAATACCAGTAACGGTTACGGCACGTAGTTCGTTCTAAGGGGATAAAAGAGATAGAAAAGTTAATTCGTTAATGTGGGTTGGTAGATGGTGGTTGTTTTCATCAAAACAATTGCCGTTGAGGGAAGCCAATAAATGTATACGGAAACAGTGGAAAAGCAACGGAAAAGAGCTACCCCTGAAAGGACGAAGGACGATTGTGGAGCAGTCTTCTCTCACCACCTACAAGCTATAGCGGTCTACATGTGCATGGAGGAGAATGATGCAAATGCGTGTGTTTCCATGGCAACTAACTGCATGGCATAAATTAAGTTTGCGCACTCGGCGGCCTCCTGGGAATATTTCATTTCGCGGATAAAAATGTTATCGGCCGTTTATTGACCTCCTCCGGCATCGAGGCGGCAGTTTACATTGTGACCACCGTTAATCGATGTCCATGCAATATTTCGACAAACTCGAACAAGATTACGGCCACGAACGCAAGCACTTAACGAAAAGTCAATATTTATGTATTAGTAATCTCATGCTATCAAATATTGTACAACAGTAGGTAGGCAAACTTGCTTCTGGATTATTGCAAATATAATTAATAATTTCACATTAAGAGAAATAATTCATATTAATAAAAAAAATAAATTTTTTCGGAGAAGATAATCATAGTTTTGGANATTAATAAAAAAAATAAATTTTTTCTATAAATATTATGTGTGTATTAATATACTCGTTACCGAGATTAAAATAATTTAAACTAGCTTATAGTATAAACAGTGTTACAATAAAATTCAATCAATCAATGAGATAAGTTTAGTAAAACAAAACCTAATGATTCTAATGATATTGAAATTTCATTCATTTTAAAAAGATACTTTATTTTCCAATAGAATGTAAAAAGTAGTAAAAAATATTTAATAAAAATTAATTTAATGTTAAATCTGCAGAACGGTAAGATGATGAAACAGCGCATAAACATTTTCAACTAAGTTGAACTCTAAGCGGGCTTATAAAGGACCCCGCTAGATCATTAAGGAAAATAGCCCTCTGTAATATTCTTCGAAACTTTGGATTCAGGTAGTTCTCAACATGTAGAGCAAATGTCTCAATAGGCGCCGAATACACAAAATATCTTTCCTCAAACGTACATAAGTACACTTGAGGTATTCTACACTTCTACAGTACATCCCTGGTTCGAAATCATGACATATCCATAACATACAATGTACATAGGTATAACACCTCAATATATGCATATATATGTATACTTGAATGGTATAATTGTCAGTGGGCACACGTCGAGAACTTCCAGAATCCCAAGTTTCAATGAGATTGACAGAAAGTCATTTTCCATTTTGTAAAAAAATAACTCGTAAAAGTACCAAGACGTCAGTACGATGTCACTGTTAGGGAACGACTATACAAAAAAGTGACAATGTATGAGACAGGGTACGAGAAATGTCTAAAAAAAAAAGGAGAATGCAAACCGTGCTACGTATATAGAATAAATAAAACATATTAGAGAGACTACCTACATGAGATTGAATAGAATGAAATAACAGAAATTGAAATAAGCAAAAAAACAATCGGAATGTTTAATACTGAGTGGCCAATAGGCATTTCGAGCCAATCGAACCATATAGAGACGACGAGCTTACATAGACGAGACAGCTAGAAGCGAAGGAGCAGTGGCAGCTACTGTCAGTACAATTAAAAAATGCTTATGAAATTCTAATGTGCGCGTATAATCGTTGGTTCGATAAAAAGCGGTTTGTATGAAGGATGATGGCCGATCGTGGAGACGGACGGATGCCTTCGCCAATTTTATATGCTGTCCTGTTCTGGAATCCAAACACGTCGTTCGCAGAGCCCGAGTGAGGACAAGAAACGACACAAAACGTTCGTTACACCGCGAGGAGACAAGCTATAATTGGCCCGAGCGGACCAATTTCTGACTGGTCGCTTTTTTTTCGTCTCTCGTTATAAATATACAAGGTGTCTGTAAAGGTTATTTTCATTGGACAGCGTTTTTCATACGCGCGTAGATATAATACGTTCAGTGTTCCGACTACGACCCGATGTCTGTACTTCTTCTTCTCTTCCGACGAGATTATTTATGCGCCATTGTTTGCAAAAGGCAACGGCTTCAACAGGAAAAAAAGACACGTTTCTAAAGAGCTAAAATGATGGAAATAACTCCACGCGCACCTGATGATACGATATCCCACCACGAACTCAATTTTTCCACCTTTCATCCTTTCACCAACCTTAATTCATACTGTAACAAAATCTTCAATTCATTCTTTTCAAATGTCACATTAGTAATAAGCAAACCCAAGATCAAGCCTGGGTCTTATGTTTCGTCTTGTTCTTTCATTCCCTTCAAAAGTCATATTACAGATTACCAAAAGCAACATCAAGGCAACTTTAATATAGTTTTCATGTTGGTCTTGACTTTAGTCTTGCTTTTCGGCAATATGAACATAGCCATGTTTTGGGCTTGACCATGGTCTTGCTAAATATGCAGGACCACCACAACACCAAACTGCAGGACCTACATTTTTTTGCTCATCACTACGCCACATCTTCAAACGTCAAGATTGATTTATATTTCAAATTTTTTTAAAGCTTAATTGACCATGCAAGGTGTCCAGGATTAAGTGAACAGATATTTCTTTTAGCAAACAGCAACGTCTTCAACAGGAAAACACGACACGTTTCTAAAGAGCTAAAATGATGGAAATAACTCCACGTGCACCTGATGGTACGATATCCCACCACGAACTCAATTTTTAATCCTTTCATCCTTTCGCCAACCTTAATTCATACTGTAACAAAATCTTCAATTCATTCTCTTCAAATGTTACATTAGTAATAAGCAAACCCAAGATCAAGCCTGGGTCTTATGTTTGGTCTTGTTCTTTCATTCCCTTCAAAAGTCATATTACAGATTACCAAAAGCAACACTAATATAGTTTTCATGTTGGTTTTGGTCCTGCTTTTTGGTAGTACGAACATAGTCATGTTTTGGGCTTGATCATGGTCTTGTTAAATATGCCGGACCACCACAACATTTTGTTCATCACTACGTCACTCTTCAAACGTCAAGACTGACTTATATTTCAGTTTTCTCAAAAGCGTAATTGACCATCCAAGGTGTCCTGGATTAAATGAAGAGATATTTCTTTTAGCATTTATAAACTTCTTAACCGAACAGTTTCCGATGTGTTTGGTTCAGCAGCTCTTTAATCTTTTGTCCATTCGTCTTCCACTTTTTCTTTCTTTTCATCACGAGGGCAACCCTTCGTGCCGATTCCGCCAACTAAGCAGAAGTGGAGTTTAAGAGTTCAGCTTCGGTTAATTTGGAGGAGTTTCCGACTTTCTCGCGACCCGAAGAGTTATGAACACTCGATGCAATTAACAGGTCGAAGCGGGAAAGAATGCGAGCAAACGAAATAGACTCCTGAGAAAAAGCCATATACAGGCGCCTCAGCAAAATTCGCCAAGAAAATTTTAACGTAGCTCGAACTTATATCTTTCAGTTTACTCACAAATATCGTCGTTATAATAGGTTCTAATAATTATTTATTGGATTGGAAAAAATGTTTCATGTACTTTAATATTCCTTATTGATGTAGCTTGTCGTTGTAAGCATGAATAGAGAGATCTTGACAAGGTTGATATTTTATAATATGTTAAGGATTCCGTATCTAAATCTAAATCATCGTCAGAAGAAAGGACGCAACCGTTATGGTCCATTGGAAAAATCGTCATCGCGATCATCTCCGTGATATTAAAACGTTACAGGAACTGAGACTTATTATTTACGACACAACCGCGTTTATTCTCTTCCTTATCGAACTATAAGTAGTATTGCGAGTGCAATACACTTGGCGTATATAACTCCATAACGGCGGCGGCGGCAGCGGTTACGACGCCGGTGCTGAAGAAGAAGATTTACACCACCACGTTCCAGCTGCCTTCTGGCTGCTCGACATCCTCCTTGCAAACGTCTTTATTCTTGGCACGGCGGCCGGTAGGGAGGTAGATGGTCGGCGGTGAGGGCAGCACCAAGAGGCAGCCAACAGGTCCGGTCGTGCAAAAACCGACGATCGAGATGGCCACGGATTATGTGCAATGTCGTTGTTGTCTTGAAAAGAACAGGCGACTCTGATATCTGAGAGGATGACTGAAACTGTCTCTTACCGTGGAGTTAAAGTTCCAACGCTTTTAACAGCTGCTATTCGATTTTTGCAAAGAGACTAAAAATGACAACCGTTTCGAAAATAAGATAACGCCGATATCCATACGCAATCTATGACGAGGTCAGAAAATCTTACAAACGACCTTACGGAATTATTTCAAACATGGCTAAGAATCATCTCGAGGACAATTAACTTCAAATAAAAACAAACCGTACTGAAATCAGTTGTTTATTCTGGAAGAATGTCGCAAACATAGGAGCACATTCACAATCAGACTTGAATCTTGTGGCAGAGAAAACAAAATTTTTGTTTGGGTGAGTAATATATTTTTAAAAAAATTATATGTAGGTACATACATGGAGAAATCGTAAACCTATACTCAAAATAAATAATACGAGAAACTGTTATTGAGAAGTGAAGAAATAACAATAAATTAAGCAGATAATGGTTAACCAAACAAAAAAAACATCATGTAACAATGTACCGGAATCTTACTCACTGAATGTTATAGACGGTAGGATGCTTGTCTGATACCACACGAATGGAAATAGAAAATCAGTTTGCATGTTCCTCAACAGTTTTCATCGCCGTAGTTATGTGTCCGACTTAGCCGAACTGTGTACAAAGCTTAGGATTAAGGAAAGAATGCCTAACATTTATTGTTTAACCGTGATGGGCCGTTTAAAAAAGCTCTTTAAGGAACAGTGGCTTTTAATTGGCTACCGAAACCTGGCGTTTCTATCTTCCGCAAAAATCTCAAGATGGAATTACGGCTTTCCACGATTTCATTCACCTTATGCGGCGCGCGTAATTGGATCCAGCAAGCCGATACCTCGGGCCGATAAGTGAAGACTCGTTGCTGCCGTTGCACCGCGAACACAACGCAGCGGCAGCCGGTGTCGGTACAGCTGCTGCGCTACTGCTACTTATCGACCATGGGAAATAGCAATGACTTATACTGACCAGACAAAAAAACTGGTATCAGTCTTGCTTTTGGGATATGAGTTCATTTAAGAAATTGTTCTTTCATTTCAAATGCTGCAACCAATGAATCCTTTAACTCCTTAAGTTTCAATCTCAGTGACGGTTCGTGGGCCATACACATTTACACATGCGAGGCCAAATTTAAAAAAAACCTAGTAAAACCTAATTTCGAGATTGATTTTCCACCTTTTTTATAGAATCTATGTTTGAGTCCTATTCATCAATTCGTGTCAATCAAAATCCAGTTTCTTTTAATGTCCGTTTTTTCAAATAATACTTTCTTTCAGAATCAAAATCTTTTGTTTCGACTTCGAGAAAGGTTTCTCTTGTGCCTATGCGTAAAAATAGTGTTATGGATGACACTGTAATACATTTCAAGATTAAATGTGTACACAAATTGGTCAGGGTTGATAGCAAGAAGGCTGTCATTGAGTCATGTATTGTAATGTGCAGGTCCATCCAGGACTCAAACCGTTTAACTGTATTGCCCATAAATGTTTAAACTTTCACTCGGAAATGGGCCAAATGGAGAAATCATAGACTATTGTGCCTACCAGAGTCACCCCCCTTTGAAATGACCAATAAAGCTAGTCATCCATAATATTTAGGAAGGGACTTCTACACTCAACCCCCTTTATTTAAATATTACAGTTAATCTAAGTTGTAATTTTTTGTTTCTGAGACAACATACATAATGCAGAGACAACTCACATAATGCAGAGACAGCTCACATAATTAAAAGACAGTATGGAAATTTTCCAGGTTCAGGTAAACGGGTTCGATGTACAGTCCATATTGTAAATTAATATGTATAGTTGATGTAAGTGCAATACAAAGTTAAAAAGCAGATTAAACATCAATGTGTTCTTATTATCAATAACAAATAGCACTGCTACCCTAGACAAAATTTTCAGTCTCTCTCCAGTCTCTCAAGAGTCTTTCAGCGTCTCTAAGAGCGTCTCTCACAGTCTTTCATAGTCTCTTAGTAATTGCCTAGGTGTTTTTATAGATCTCTGACAGTCTCTGTAGGAGAGACGAACGATAAAATTGTTAATTCAGAGATTCGAGTCTCTCGTTCAGAGATTCGAGTCTCTCGTTCAGAGACTAGATACGAAATAAGGATCTCTCTATAAGCAGCTCGAGTCTCTCGTTCAGAGACGCTAAACAGTTTTTTTGACAGTCTCTCTCAGCGACACCAGAGAGACTCGATGAGAGACGGAGACTCGAGTCCCGCTTTGAGAGACTCTGAGAGACTGAACATTTCTATCTCTCGTAATCATTTTGGTACCGCTTTATTCTACACTAATAATAGTTAGCAGCAGTATATTGCCTGATACGAGCCTCTACATGGCTAACCTCATCTGAACAATCTATAGGACCTTCAAATGGATCCGCCTCTCCTTATCTGCAACTACTAGTATGCGGTTATATTATTTAGAAGCCTGTGTACATCTTTCTAATGATAAGAAACGTAAGCAAAATTGGATTTTAATTTAAAAATTGGGTAGTTTACCGTCCGCCTCTATCGGTAGTTGTGCTGGATGAAGGTTCCTGGTTTCTTCCCTGTATAAATTTACGGATACTTAGTTTGTTAGGCCGAGGCGCAGTAGTGCCGCAAGAAGATAACCGAAGACGGATGGCGACAGTCGGGACGCCTGAACAAGAGAAATATTCCGTTCCAAAGTTTCTTTGTCTTTACTCCCGGGAACTGTATTTAATACCGATAGAGGGTTTCTCGTCTCACTCTTCCCATAAATTACGCGCTCGAGGCTGCCACGAAGTTGGGAAGATTTACGACACACGGGCGAATTTCATACTTTTTTCTTCTTACAATTTTCTGTTTATTGCAATTTCAACGAAAACATAACTTCGATTTGAATGAAAAAAAAAAATACGTGTAATTATACAACACGTTACTGAAGTGAAACTTCTTGAAACACACAAACATACCGGGACAGGGGTTAAGGAATTGGTTTAATGGTATTATTTGTACATTATGCTTCGCACGGGTGCAATGCTGATAGTAAATATACTATAGAATATCTTTATATACAACAATCACAGCTTTTTTGTCATTAGACAATACAAACCGGCCGGTACCGCCGCAACCGCTATGTCCCTGCATTTTAAGTCTGTAATATCTTCGAAAATACTCATTTAAATTATATGCTGTAAAGGGCCATATTGATCTATATTAAATGCACAATGTATTTAAAAGTACTTAGTTGGATAAGGAATAATGTTGTATTGCTTAAAACTGCTCCGTAAATAAGCCATTATTTCTCGTAAAAAGTAAAGGATAAAAAATGGTTATTGTGGGTTATCCCTAACAGATAGACATATACCATCACGGCCTTTTTGGTAGATCCTTTTAAGGTGTACAATACTGTAGTTTATTATTTTGATCTATCTCGTAGGGTTCAGCCAGTGTTTGCAATGTAAGCGCAAAAAATGTGTTTATTTACGACATCACATTACAAACGTCTAAAATTATCAGTGTTTCTCTACTATATTATGCATGTATTATACATATAAACCTTCCTCTTGAATTACTCTATCTATTAAAAAAAAAACGCATTAAAATTCGTTGCGTAGTTTTAAAGATATAAGCACACATAGAGACAGACAGCGGGAGAAATGCGTTGCATGATTTCGTTACATAGCAATTCGCATGAAACGAACTTACCCTACCGTGCGTAAAGAAGTTTTACCTCAAAAAGTCTAATAGAAAACGAACAGAGAAGAGTAGCATCATACAATATTGATTTATTTGCTTAAATTTATGAAGAAAAATCTTTGAATTGGAAATATTGTATGAATTACACTTAATTTTTTTTGCTAACAAAGAGTAGTGTCTTTTTGAGTTATCGCGGTTCACGCAAGAGGCGGCAACCTACTGCTTCATCCAACACGAATTGTTCGATGTAGAATCACCAAGGGACCCGGTTTCGTTTCTCCTTCGCACCCCAGCTTCCTCCTTTTTCGGACGCTACGTATACGCCGGTGTCTGACACGTTTCTCGCTCAGATTAATGGCTCCCAGAGACTCATCTATAATTCCTCCGATCTATTCCTCCCGACCGTGAAAGCAATTCAGGCATCTCTTCTGCCTTGCAGCCCTGCCTACCCCGCAAACATCCACCTTCGCCCTCTTTCTTTCTTACTTTCTCTTTCTCTATCCATTACAAGTTACCTACTACAACCCCGTGTAACGAATTCCGTAAAAAAGCAGAATTCGTCCATGGAAAGAAACTCCTGCGTAATTTTTATCATTTATAATACGAACATAACTTCAGCAAGGCAATATCATTAATATTGATTGAATTGGCAATGACGAAATAGTAAATCTCTTATAGTTAGCATATAATTTGATATTTAGTAGGTATCAAATTCAGCACGTACTCTGTAACAATGCAACTTTTTCTCATAAATACAACCAACACAACAAATATGTGTACGGATTTTTTTAAATGTATAATTGCCTTTATAATACCACATTTTATGATAATTACCTGACTCTTGTGATTTATAATACCAATATAAAAAATAAAGCGCAAATTAAACTAATTATTTTCCCTAGATACTTACATACGTATAAAAACATTAAATTTATGATAACATTGAAACATTTTAGCATGTTTATGGAATCCGATAGACGTTTCTTGTTTATTAAACTTTTAACAATATTTCTTTCATCAGTGATTGCGGTTGTACAATAATAAAAACGTTTCCAGCTATAAACACGTTCTTTTAAGATTGCAGATAACCAAAAAGAAATCGGCTGAAACGGAACATTAGTCCGAGGGAAAATTTCCCTGAGCCATATTTACAAATGTATCAGCGAAAAACAAAAGAAACAACAACGCCGTAAGAAAAAGGCGATGCATACAGCGATCTGGACGCATTAGCAAGTCTATCGTGGTCGTTTCTTTTAGAAATTCTCACGACATTGCGCCAATAAAATAGTGCAGCTCATACGTATGTAGGTACTTACATTAGACGTGGCGAATGAATTATAGAGGTAGTACGACTTGTCCGGCAAATGATATTGTCAAGAAGGAATTCTCGCGAACACGCAACGTGTTCTCTTTTCTTTTTTCCCGAGGCAAAGGGAAGAGAGGAGAGGATGACGGAAAGGAAAAAAAAAAACAATCCGTGCCACATAACTCACCACGTTGGACAACTATCGGCCATTATGATGAGTTGTTGGGGACGACCGTATAAAGGCGGGAATCGAAGCAGGCAGGTATTCCGTATGCTACAGGTCACATATCCACAACGCGCCGTTTTCATACTGGAATCGTTTAAGCTTTCTTTTCCATACCCAACTAGACTTTTGCGTTTGTCGTTTGCAATTCAACGACCACTTAAATTAAATAGACCAGCAAATATGCTGCCGATTTGCTTTTTACTCACCAACGGTGAACTTATCGTAAGTAAAACTAACCTGAAACAAAAGAAAAACGAATTAGCATAAAGAATAAATACAAATACCAACTTTGTATACATAATTTAAATGAGATTGTTAGATTTCAAAACCTAATAGTACTTTTTGGTTCACTTAAGAAATTTCATTTCAAATACTGCAACTAAAGAATCCCTAAGTCCTTATAAGTTTAAATCTCAGTGACGGCCCGAGGGTCATACACATTTACACATGCGAGGTCAAATTAAAAAAAAGCACACGTAAGACCTAGTAAAACCTAAGTTCGAAGTTAATTTTCCATCTTATTTATAGAATCTATCTGTAGGACCTTAAGATCGATCTTTCCTTCTGTACAACTAGTACCTAGTATGCGATTGTATCGGGTTGTTCGGAAAGTCATTTCGTTTTTTCCCGACAGAGGATTTAATTGTATTCTTTTGCACCCAACTTCACATTTTAGCCGTACAATTTTTATATGCTTTGAGAGTTCATACAGCAAGGCTTGTGTGTGAAAAATTCCAATTAATTCTACGCAGTAGTTTTTGGTTGGTGCCCTTTTAAATATGGAGAGCGATAAGCAGCATTTTCGACATATCTTACTGTTTTACTACAGAAAGGGTAAAAATGCTGTTCAAGTCAGAAACAAATTGACTGATGTGTATGGAGAAGGTGAGTTGACAGTACGCCAGTGCCAGAACTGGTTCGCTAAATTTAGATCCGGCAATTTTGATGTCGAAGATGCACCACGTTCGGGAAGGCCGGTTGAAGCTGATAAAGACGCGATAAAGGCATTAGTTGATGTGAACCGGCGAATAACAACACGTGAGATCGGATTGAGGTTAAATTTAACAAATTCAACAGTTTATGACCACTTGAAAGGCCTGGGATTATCCTCGAAGCTCGATGTATGGGTTCCCCATGTTCTCACAGAGAGAAATCTGTGTCGCCGCATTGACGTCTGCGATTCGCTTCTCAAACGTCACGAAAATGATCCGTTTTTGAAGCGCATCATCACTGGAGACGAAAAATGGGTTGTATACAATAACGTCAAACGCAAGAGGTCATGGAGCAAAAAAAGATGAACCGACTGAAACCATTTCCAAAGCCGATATTCACCAAAAGAAGGTGATGCTGTCTGTTTGGTGGGATTTTAAAGGAATCGTTTTTTTTGAGCTTTTACCGGATAACACAACGATTAATTCGGAAGTCTACTGTCATCAGCAGCTGGACAAACTGAATGATGCACTTCAACAGAAAATGTCAGAACTAATCAACAGGAAAGGTGTAGTGTTTCACCAAGACAACGCGAGACCTCACACAAGTTTGGTCACTCGCCAAAAGCTTTTACAGCTTGAATGGGATACAATGCTACCCCCACCATATTCTCCAGACCTGGCACCATCGGATTATTATTTGTTCCGATCACTCCAAAATTTTTTAGACGGTAAAACCTTCACCTCAAATGAGGAGGTCAAAAACCTCCTCGATCAGTTTTTTGCCAGCAAAGACCAAAAATTTTATGAGCGTGGAATTATGCTACTACCAGAAAGATGGCAAAAGGTGTTAGACCAGAACGGTCAATATATAATTTAATAAAGTATTTGTTTATTATACGAAAACTGTCTTTCATTTCCACAAAAAAAAACGAAATGACTTTCCGAACAACCCTATATTATTTAAAAGCAAACGTACATCTTTCTGATGATAAGAATTGTAAGCAAAATTGTATTTTAATTTAAAAATACAAATACAAATACCAACTTCGTATACGTATTAGTATACGAATTGATATGAGGCCTACCTTTATATATTTAAAGGACGTGACTACGACAACACTCATTTCATTAATCTTGTCTTTTTTTACCACAGTCCTTATCGAAGCTTAGCCGAAAGTTGCGGTAGGAAAAGACAACACGTCTTGACTTACAAAATGAATTATTCCTTTTAGTTAACTGCATAAATAATTACCCAAGTGAAGGTACATCGCATATTAAAATACAGGTAAGTACAGTAAGTAGGTAGATCAGAAGCTACAATAAGGTTACACTAGTCCTGGGCGATAACTGATTTTAGTTATGTATTATCGATATATCGATAAATCGATAAAATTATTAATAACTATCGATATATATATATAAATCGAAGTATAATTAAAAAGTGTAGGTATATCTACAAATGTCGACATATCGACATGTTTCGACAGATTAATAAATTTGATTACGATGTTCTTGAGAACTAGAATGGATAAATTGCATGTAAACTGAAGTCTTTTAACTAAAAATCGTTCGTATACACTTTCATTTCTTGCTTCTTGGAAAAAATCATTCAAAACACAATATATTTTAGTACTTACTGTTTTATTATTTTTTTTAATTGAATTTTAAAAATTTCTAACGCGTATAGGTACAAACTTGAATTTCTATCTAGTGGAAAAAATTCATTCATGCAATTCGTAGTAGTTATTAAAGTGGGAATCTAAATTGAAAGTGCCACTTTTTTCATTGTTTAACTAGTCCTCTCGAACGTCTCAAAGAACACACTTCTGTTAAAAAATTAACACGTGTTTGTACCATGTTGATACGATTTCATTGTAACCAACCTTCAATTCGATAAAAGTGCCGATAAATGAATACCAATATTGCCAATTTTCAGGGATTTACTAGAATATCGGCCCATAAATAAGCCTGAGACTTATAAACTCAGCGTTAACTACTAAAAAATGTGAAAGTTAATATGGTCAATTGAATATAACAAATTAAACATCCTCCAAAACTTAGATTTCTTCAGCCTGCAATGGTCAATTGGATTGTCAAACGATTTAGTGATTAGTGTTTCATAGTATTCTACCTTTTTCTGTATATTAATATTTAAATCATGAATGTAGTAGTATGCAAAACTGAACAACATATTTATCTTCAAATATTCCGATTTTTACCTGTTTTCATTTTTGAACCAAACAGAAATACGTTCTTTAAATCAAACAAAATAACATTTTTTACCTGATTTTATGACCATTTGAACCCTCAGCCTTGACTTCCTAAATATTCTTAACGGCAGATTCTAAGAATTTTACCCCCATTAGAGATTTTTGTCATCATAGCAAAGGAGAAAGTCGGAGTACCCGTTTTTACCAGTGAGTTAGTATTTTTTAGTGGAGACAGTACCAACCAACTGTTACCGCTAAATTAATTTTGGTATATAGTTTCGTATATATTATATTAAATAAATAGCGATTGTCTTTAATTAGAGACATCACATTCGGAAATTATTGAAGTAACTCAATTACCAAGTAATATAATAATTTCAATAATTTACGAAGAAAATGTATGAAATAAGTCTTCAAATTTTCCTTTTGAGGTATAAGACCGTGAGTGTATGACCAAGTGGCGCCTTTCAGACAAAGGACTATTTCGATTGTAACATTCAAAAATGAAATATGTCCTTACGGAATATCTCGCGATCGGTGTAAAGTTAAAACGCATTGATTTCGCATTAGTTTAGCATCCGATCGCCATTCTTAGCATGTTTACAAAGTTGTAGTGACATTTTTAGTACAACTTATAGCGCTTTCAAACCCGGATGGACTCCTAAGTTTTGAACGCTACATTTAACGTGCCGTTACCAAGTAGAACATCAGGAATTTTCCTATTTTACATATGTATGCAGGTAGGTGGGGATACCTATCACTGACTTGAAGATTTTGATGTCAGATTCAGGCAATAACATCTACTGTATAACAAGCGGATTTCATGTGAAAGCATCTTATACTTATATATTTTATTAGCACCTGAACTTTAAGAAAGTTTCTGTAGGTACATTAAAGATTATGGGCCTTCTGTAACGTATAGCTTGTACTTAACGGACCTTTTGAATTTTCAATATATACACATATGTATGTTTATTCTAAAGATACACCGGATAGTGATTTTATCGGGAATCGGGTGCCCGGCGCCAGTAAAAAGCATATAATATTTACTAACAAATGCTATTGTATATTAAAATTGAAATACTTCTTTTCATTGAAAAGCAACATACGGATGCTTGAATAATAATGTAAATTTAAGTACCAACTACGTTTAAGATTTAATTTAATTTTTTAAATTTTATCTGGTTTATATTACTAACCTTGTGATTTTAAATATATTTAATATTCTACGCTGTAATATAAAAATTTAATAAAGTAAAATTCACTTCTGAAATCTGAGGAAATCTGTTGTGCAATTAGTCACTTATTATAATCTTTTGTGCAAAGCTAATTTCTTTAATAGTGTCTCTATGCTTTGTAGGCAACCTTCGAAAATTTCCTATTTCATTTATTACAGTGATTTTAGTTACACACTTGGGTTTCGCGAAGAATATAATTTACTTTTTTATTATTATCATCTATAAGCTGGACAAATATACAGGGTAGTCCACTAAGCGCGCTTTGTTCTCTGGCTGTCTTGCCGTGGAAACTGGAAGAAAATGTTTCCAATAAATAATGTCCCTGACCGAATGATCCATCTGCGGAAAATAATTTCGGAGATGGCAGACTTCCGGGTATACCGGAAGTATACATTAGCTGCCTTATTTTAAATGGAACACTCAGTACATTATTACATTTTGGAATTCAACACAGATCTTAATGTGCAGTTTGTTAAGCATAGTTTTTGCCTGCGCGATACCTTTTTGAAGTTATTTAGTAATTTCTAGAAAATTTGACGTTCGTGGTACTTTACAAAAATTTTAATATTTCGGCAATTATACTCGATTAAAAGATGCGGCTGTCCCTGTTGAAAAGAGCATGGAACTTACTTGGCTTTTCATCTAAAAATTTCTTTCAAAGCACATTAAATCATTACACTGTCAATTCTGTCATGTTTATTCGAATTATTGATAAAATTACTTAAAACCAACACAACACAAACAATTAATGTCAAAAAAGATTGCTGTGAGTGACTTCACGAGCAGAATTTTCTCAAAATGGTTTATTGCCGAAGTGAATAAAATTCCGACATAAACAACACCGGGAACAAACTTTA